CTAAAATTCAATAATAATAATATACTACGCGGACGAAGTTACGGGCAACAGCTAGTTGTAAATATTTCCTTTGCTATTAGTACGGTTAGGATAGAAGTAGCTGCAGTAACAGTATGGAAGAAAAAATATTCACTAGAGGGAGCTCAATAGGGTAGATGCCTAATTTTTATTTTAATGTCGATTATTTTAGATAATTACATACTTTTTTTTATTTTCTTATAGAAACGAATACTTTCGACGGTATATTGATTTGAAACATCGCGTGACGTCACTTCTATGTACATTTTAAACGTAGAAATGACGTTTTGGCTCCCACTCCTAAACTTTGATTCGTTTCATCGAAGTATTATTTTATAATACGACAAAATAAAAAAATACGTGTCTAATATTTTTTCATTACCTAACTTACGGACTAAATAGATTTTTGATCATCATGCCAATTCTGTAGAAAGTTACGAAAAGAAATGTGTGGTCCGGTGAGCAGGCCCTGGTCTGGATCCCACACTTTCTACTCTTTGGCTCTCAATAATTAGGCGCCTTTTGAAGCGTTCTCTCTGCATTAAAAAAAATGACAGTCGTTTTTGAAATCATCAACAGTAGGTCGCTTCGCACAACACAAAGCGGTGGCGTGTATGCAAAGATTTTTTTTTTTGCATAAGCCGGTAAACGAGCAGACGGATCACCTGATGGTGAGCAATCAGCGCCGCCCATGGACACCTGGAACACCAGAGGCGTTACAAGTGCGTTACCGGTCTTTTGAGGATTAGGAGTTTGAGGATCGTTGGGGATTCAGGAATTGGGCAGATTGGGGAAGGGGAGGGTCGTGGTGGCCCGGAGGTTTAAGACGCCCACTTCTCATGCACAAGGGTGCGGGTTCGAAACCTACCAACGGCAAGTACCAATGGGACTTTTTCCGAGTTCTATGTACTTTCTAAGATTATTTAGACACCACTGACAAACGGTGAAGGAAAAACATCGTGAGGAAACCTGGACTTATAATTTCTAATTATAAGTTTGAAATCGCCAACCCGCATTGAGCAAGCGTGGTGATTAACTCTCTAACCTTCTCCGTGTGAGAAGAGGCTTTGCTCAGCAGTGGGCACTTATAGGCTGTTGATGATGAGGGTAATTGGGCCTCCGGTAACCTCACTCACACGACGAAACACAACACAAGCGTTGCTTCACGTCGGTTTTCTGTTCCAGCTCCCGAGCTATCAGCCATCCTGAAGATCCGATACTTCACCTGCAATATTGTGCACACATGAGCGGTGTAATCGTTAAAGGTTGCCTTGCAGCGCTTTATTTCAGTTACTGAACTCAATATTATTTGAAGATGCATTTTGTATTGGAACATTAAACTAACTATAAATAATTAAACTAATCCATACATAAGTATGTAGAAATAAACTAAATAATAAATTAGTTATTTATCTAATGTTATTAGGACTAAGAAACAAATAAAAACTAAAGTATTTACAACTAAAATTAACATAAGAGAATATAGAAAAATAGGATGGGGACAAAACTAACAGAACGCACCAAAAAAATTATCCTCATCATTGTCATTAGGTAGGATGCCCAAAAGACTGACAGCATTTTTTTTTTAAACCTTGCCCCACACTAGGATTTTCTCCTGTATCGTGGGTGCGTTTACAAACATACAATATCACATATACATGACACGCAGACTCGGAACAACAATCTGTGGATCACACAAAGAGTTGTTCCGTGCGGGAATCGAACCCGCGACATGTTGCGCGGCAGCCAGTTGCCCAGCCACCGCGCCAATCGTGCAGTCAATTGCCACGTTGGATGGCAATGCTGATGGCAATGCACCTTTGCTCAAGGTGGTAGCCAGCCTTTCAATCACCTCCGTCGCGTGAGACACTCCGGGCGTCGGAGGTCGCGAGACGTTCTCCTGCCACCGTGAGCATGGGCCTGCGGACGGCGAGCACGGGTGACTCGCCGCCCGACCAGAACCAGACCCGAGCGTACGGCGCGTCGCGTTCCGCGCGCGCCTAAAGGTGCCATCAGACCACCACAGATGGGGCCCAATAGGGCTGATGCCGATACGGAGCCGCTGAGGACTTAACGGGTTACCGGGGCTCCGGCTCCAAGTGCAGGAGTTGGATCGGGGTGGTTTTTAGTCAGTTAAAGTCTAACACTTCCTCTCGCCTCACCCGGGTGAGAGAAGTCATTGGATGATTTTCCACCACCATCGAATAAAAAGCCTTTCAATCACCTGAAGTGTCAACCATCTGCTTGACAATATCTTTAAGGAAGATGTTAAACCAGAATGTTGTGTTTATACCTACGGCTATAGTGTAAATGACTAATTTTTATTTTAATGTCCGCCTGGTAGACTATTTAAAAAACATTAGACACGTATTTCTTATTTTCTTACGGAAACGAATAGTTTCGATGATATATTGATTTGAAATATCGCATGACGTCACTTTGGGGTACTACAATTTATACTCTAATATGACGTAGCTACCTCCCACTCCTATCCTCTCTTTAATACTCCAACTTTAATTCGTTTTATCTAAGTATTTTTTTCTAATACGACAAAATAAAACAATATTTGTCTGATATTTTTTCATTATCTAACTGACGGACTAATTACATTTTTTGCTATTTATACCCTATCATCATCCCTATTAGGTATTAAATTCAGCAATAGGCGCTGCCCAATGGACTCCCGTAACACAAGAGTGTTATGCCACCATCAATGCCGCGGTGGTCCGGAGGTTCCTCATGCATGAGAGCGCGGGGTCGAAGCCTACCAACGGCAAATTATCAATTTGACTTATTCGCCTCTGGTGTTCCGGGTGTCCATGGGCGACGCCGATTGCTTACCATCAGGTGATCCGTATGCTCGTTTATCAGCTCATCCCATAAGAAATGTTAGAGAACTCAATTCGAATGGTTCAACATAATGAGATAGTGTTAATAAACCAACATGATGTTTGTTAACTATGTTTGCATTGGACCGTTTAATGTAAAAACCATAATATGTTCGAACAATATTCAGAAGCTAAATATTTTACAATAGATTTCACTATTATTAGAATACATTTTATTGCTGTTTTCCTGTTGAAGTGATGTGATGCAGTGTGAACGCAATAAAATACACAGACGCCATATTATTGACATATCATCCGTATTTTTCCTTAAAACAATGTTTGAATTATTTTATTTTATAGGTATCTTATATTACATACATACATTCCTACTATTCCTACTAATATTATAAATGGGAAAGTGAGTTTGTTTGTTTGATTGTTTGTTCCGCTTTCACGCCGTAACTTCTAAACCGATTGCTTTGAATTTTTGCAGACGTAAAGTTAGAAGTCTGGATTAAATAATAGGGTACTTTTTATCGCGGAAAAAAATGATATTCTCGAGGGAAAACGAAATTATTGGTATAGATGGCGCTGTGTGTTTGGTAATTATGTCACATAGGCTACTTTTTATCCTTTTGTGACGCGAGCGAAGCCGCAGGTAAAAGCTAGTACATAAATATTTCTTTTCATTATATCCACCCAAAGGTTGTCTGGTAGAAATCACTATAAGTGATAAGACCGCCTTTGTGCCCATTATTTTTTTTTATTTATATTTGTCATTTCCTTTTCTGTATGTACTATTAATATATATATATTATTAGTGGTGTACAATAATGTTATATTCCATTCTATTCTATTCTATAACTTCACGCCTGTCTCCCGTAGGTAGGCAGAGACTACGGAACGCCAATTACTACGATTCCTACATACCTCTTTCGCTTTATCAACAGTCAGTCAATCTTTTCATGCATGCTCGTCGGTTAAGGGTACTTTGAATTTGGCCCTTCTTTAATATATCGCCTATCTGGTCAGTATGTATCTAATATTATTCTATTGATTACTAGCAGGCTTTTGCCAGCGACTTCGTCCACGTTCCCGATGTGTATTCCGGACTACCTATAATTAATCTATTATTGTACCAAAATTCATTTAAATCCGTCCTGTAGTTTTATCCTTCACGTCAAAACGGCTACAGGGATCGGGATAAAATTTGTAACAGAGATAGATTATGGTCTAGACTCTAGAATAACACATAGGTTACTTTTTATTCCGCGGAAACGCGGACAGAAGCTAATCGATATAATAAAAATTACTTGAGTAAAAACATCATTCGTTGAAGAATATTTTAGTATACTTACTTCTTATTAATACGTTGATGTTTGTTTTTTATCTGTGCATAGTTATAAAAAAGAAAAACAAATCGTAAAAACAAATAAACGTAGTAAGATAGCCATAATAAATTGATTTGTATTCAGAACGGCAATATCATCCGTTGAAGTGTGCGCGATCGATTTGTGCTCAACTATTTCGCATCGAAATATCTTATACATAATCGTAAATTAGCATCAAATTGAAAATTTTATTTTAATAATAATAAATAAATAAATAATCTTTATTGTACACCAATTTGAGACAGTACATCAAGGAACAAATAAAGAAAATAGGGTACAAAGGCGGCCTTATCGCTAAAAGCGATATCTACCAGGCAACCTTTGGGTGGATAGAATAATAAAGTAGGATATTAAATGAGGTAGTTATAGCTTGGCGTACTCAGTGCTTATTTATATAATGTAAAAGAGTAAACATTAAAAAACAAATTTATTTACTATTTCATTGCAAAAATGTCTCCAATAATGTCATCTGTCAAATCATAAAGATTGATACCTGTTCGCGCCAAAAGAAACGTCACTTTCGCCGCGCTGCGTCTAATTAAGAAAACAAAATAAAAAAAAATTAAACGCGTTCCAATTTACGAATAATGAGAACATAATTCGATATTTTTGTCCGCCGTTTTTCGGTTTCAGTGGCAAGGATAATAAGTGAGCGGGACGGGTGATGGGATACGATTGCGGTTAGACAGAGATAGCAATATTGTGTACTTTCGTATATAGATTTGTTGAAAGCTATAGGGACGTGCGTTCAGTTTTCCGAGAGCGTTTCGCGAGGGACGTCGGTGCGGTCGCTTTCGTGCGGAATTTTCGCAATCTATTACATGTGATTTATTAAAAAATAACTAGTCATGTCCCTAAAGGGTGATTTTAGGACAGATTCGCCCGTCACGACGTTTCGTGCTCGTTATAAAGGATAGATGTGCAAAAATCACGTTCCGATATCAAAACAAAGTAGGAGAGTAGGTAATTTGTCGGAATTTGTGTGTATGTATTTATATTGTAAATATTTGTAGCCAGTTTTAAGTAATTGAGTGTAAGCGTTTAAAAAAAACAAAGTGCAATGTGATTTGTGGTTCGTTTTTATGGATTTTAAATTTCGAATTTGGAATTCGTATTTTATGCCGGTAAGTTTTTCATACTTAATTTTTTTTTATACTTATTTATAATATAGTTTTTATACAAACAAAAAATATGAAATACTTTTTACAACAAACCTTTTTGATAAAAAAACATATTTTTGCTCCAATAAAACTTTCCGCTTGCTTCTAACAGTAAATAAAATCTTACATATTATCAACGTTACATATTTTACCCTGGAAACATGAAAACAGCTTTTAAAACTATGGAATAAGGGCGTTAATCGTCTAACTAGTTACTCTGAACACGTATAGCAAACTTAGATACATATTAAACCCTGTTTAATCCCGAATTTACATAGTTTCGATATTCGGGACCTCGTAAACCAAAGCGTATCGATTTCATATTAGTTCAAAACTAATCTATCTGAGATTAATATTCTGTTGTTATTATCGACCTTTAGTACTATATACATGTACCTACCGATACAGAGCAGTATAAAAATCCTACCTCGTTGGCCGAGTGGTCGCAAGTGCGACTGCCGGGAAAGGGGTCTCGGGTCAAAGTATTAAAAAATTCTCAGTAGTACCACAAGAGCCCGGAATTGTGTCCGGTGTATGGCTATGGGCTCACCCCCTATTACATGGGACTCATAACAATATAATAGGTAAAAAGTGAGTGTTACATTGTACAGTGGCATTAAGTGCCGTAATGTGCATCATTGCTTTTCCTTTCCGGCTTCGGGGCGGGTCGCTAGTAAAAAATATTTCTATCCCCAATCCCCGAAATTCCCATTTCTCTAGTCCTTTATCCCAAAAGGCCGGCAAAAAACCTGTAGCTCCTCAAGAGTTGCGAATGTAAATGGGCGGTGTCGAGTTCTTACCATCAGGTGACCCGTCTGCTCGAAGTGCTCGGTTGCTGCCCTCTAGGACAAACCAAACTGATTTAGATATCTACATAGAGGTGTACCTTGTTATATGGACCTTTTTTATGACGAGCAGACGCATCACCTGATGGTAAGCAATCGGCGTCGCCCATGGACACCTGGAACACCAGAGGCGTTACAAGTGCGTTAACGGCCTTTTGGGATTAGGAATTTGAGGATTGTTGGGGATTCAGGGATTGGGGAAAGGGGGGGGGGTGATTGGGCCTCCGGTAACCTCACTCACACGACGAAACACAACACAACGTTGTTTCACGTCAGTTTTCTGTGAGGCTGTGGTATCACTCCGGTCGAGCCGGCCCATTCGTGCCGAAGCATGGCTCTCCCACGTCAGAAATCTTGTGGAACCTAGAACAAATATCCGTGCGTTTAAGCGTTTTAGCCATACCTATTATTGGAAGCAAGTATAACAGCTCACACATACTCACTTAGTTTTAAATCAAATTTCCGTGGTGCCTGGCGACTGGGCTTCACCCAGTTGTACAGTCTCTTTTTGTGGCAGTCTTAATTCATTCTGTCTCCAGCAGTAATTCATCGAGCGAAGTGAAAAAAAAAGGATAGTGGTTATTTTCTTCTCCTCTTATAATATCTTCTGATTCACTTCGTTGCGGGAACCAAGACAGTTGTTCATGTCTCTAGGACGCGCCGGACTTCAGTGTTCCGGTGTTTTCATGGTTGTATCTACTGTAGTGTAGATCCTGGCTTACAGGAGTTGCAGCGGTTTTGGGAGGTTGTGGTGGGCTTGTCAGAATAAAAAAATACCTACCTACGGACTTAGATTGGAGTAACGAGACGGAAAAAGACAAATCGTATAGTCACATGGCCATTGGTTACCTACAAAAGAGAATTATCAAAAATGTCATCATGTTACGCAAATAAGATAACGTGGAAATAATATCGTTTGTTAGTTTTGTACATAACTTTTTACTTTATTCTGTAGCCTGATAGATAGTGTGGTAAACACTCATACTAACATAATTGGGATGATGACAGGGTATGAAAATTAAAAATCTAATTAGTCCGTCAGTTAGGTAATGAAAATATATTAGACATGTATTTTTTTTTGTTATTTTGTCGTTTATGAAAACAATACTTAGATAAAACGAATCAAAGTTTAGGAGTGGGGGCTAAAACGTCATTTCTACGTATAAAATGTACATAGAAGTAACGTCACGCGACATTACAAATAAATATATCGTCGAAAGTATTCGTTTCTGTAAGAAAATAAAAAATACGTGTCTAATTATTTAAAATAATCTACTAGACGGACATTAAAATGACAATTAGGCATCTACCCTATTGTCTTTTTTGAGAGGGACGAAAATAATCCATCGATTTAGATGACGCGAGAGACATAGTCAGACTCTTATTGACTAAAAACTACCCCGTACCTTCTCTTGCTGCTGCTCGGTAACTCCGGACTAAAATCTGACGTCTCTGTCGTCACCAGATCCCCCCTTAGGGTTTCCCTAGACTCTCCAACAAGCATATGTTCAGCTACGCAGGCCCAGTAGTGTCGACTGTGTGCTAGTTTGATAGTCACTCAGTGACAACTTCTTTGTACGTCTGCGATATCATCGTCATAATAATTATCAATTACAAGACCACGTACGCTGAATTTAGGCTTCCCCCATTGACTTCCAGATCAGACAATACGGTAGTTGACAGGTAGTCAAATTTAATACTTTTAATGAAATGTCAAACACGATACTTTTCTATGAATTTTGTATTGGATCGCAATTCGCAACTTATGACGTCATCATATTCCTGCGTTAAATAGCATACTCATTTCCTTAAAATTATCGAGAAAAAATCCAAAAGTAGGTAAATTGTCAAATCAACGGATGAGAGTATGATTATTTTTTAATTATTTTTTGCATTGAAAAGTTGAAACAATTTATTTTAAACCTAGGAATTTAGCCAATTGAAAGCGACTCGCATCCACCATTCTCGGGTCGTTTGCTACAGACAGGTTAAAAATCTTTCGGGGCAAGTATAAAATGTAGCAGCAAAAATATAAAACAAATTAAACTACCACTAACAAAATCATTATAACGATAACATTTATTTTGTAGGATAAAATGAGAATTCCCATTTGGCGCATACCATTGCTTTTAATCATCGAAGTTTTGAACAACATTCGCTTTGACGCAGTACTTCGGTGGCAGTGTAATCAAAACATTGTAATTTCTACTAGCTTGCCGTCAACGGCCAAGCTCGCATTGAATTAAAAAAAGTCTCGAGTCGACCTTGATTCTATACTAATTATAATTAACTCGTCGAGTACCGTCATTATAGACACAATTATAGAACAATAGGTTGCGGTCACCGGTGACCGCTTGGTGTTTGACAGTTTAATCTAATTTTTAATTATTATATTTTGAAATAGGTATTAGGGAACAGAGGATATAGTTTCTTAACTAGAGAATTGTATTGTAAGCCCGATTGAAAAAGAGTAAATGGAGTTTCTTGCTCGTTCTTCTCCATAGGAATCTACACGGTGGAATGAGAAAATAGCTTCACTTCTAAAATTTTGTTGTTGACACTCAAAAGTGCCTTCCTGGTCTGATTGAAATATGTAAATGATTTTGACTTGTGACTTCACTAAGATCAGAAAAGGAGGATCCTCCGACCAGGCGAGGTGATCGTGCCTGGAAGGCTTTCTGCCCAACAGATGTTCGTTGGGATTTCCTATCCGTGTTAATTCGCATGTAAACGTTGCATGTGCGATGTAGGATTTTTGTGACGTCATCCGTTGATTTGTTTTCATCTATATATATGCGTGAGCATCTATCATATTATATCTATTTGACAAGTGTCGCCACATGGTAGTTATGATTTTTTTCAAAACATAAGTATCCATAATCATTAACTTAATAAATAATAACGATCAATATTTAATTCCATTGTAAAGGCATAGATAATTCAATTTTTCAAAAGTACACTTTCAATCAGGAGAATTGTTTACTTGGGTTGATGATAATGACGTCATTAATGTTTGCTAAAGTTTCTTGAAGAATCACCCACCTATTCCTGCCTCCTAACTCCTACTTCGTGCTGAAGCCCCGATAACTACTTAGGCCACAGCTCCAGTCAGTTCTATGAGGAAATTATCACCTTCAGAATTGGAATGATGATAGGGTATGAAAATTATAAATATAATCAGTCCGTAAGTTAGGTAATGAAAAACTATTAGACACGTATTTTTTATTTTGTCGTATAATACTTAGATAAAGCGAATCACAGTTTAGGAGTGGGGCCTTTTTTTTAAGGGGCGAAAATCATCGAATGACTGCTCCCGCCTGGGTGAGGCGGGGAAAGGAGAAAGAGAATCTTACTGACTAAAAACCACCCCGTTCTTTCTCCTGCACGTCGAGCCGGAGCCCCGGTAACCCATTAGGTTCTCCGCGACTCCGAATCGGCAGGAGTGGGGGCTAAAACGTCATTTCTACGTATAAAATCTACATCACGTGACATTTCAAATCAATATATCGTCGAAAGTGTTCGTTTCTGTAAGAAAAAAAAATTGTCTAATGATTTAAAACAATCTACCAGACGGACATTAAAATATAAATTAGGCATCTACCCTATTGTATTGACACTATATTTGTACAAATGCGTCTATTGTTTTGAATGATGTAGTTCTATAGTAGTATCTTTAGGCCTCCCAAGTTGAGTGTCTTTAAAAGGAAACGAAATTGTACACACGGCCACACATCAATCTATACAAAACCAGTTTATCTTGGTGTCGCGTCGCATCATCTTTCCGCACATTTAACGTTCAGTTTATACTGGTTATGTAAAACTCGATGTGTAGCTATGTGTACCTAATTCATCATTGTTCTTTTATTTTGGACAATGGTGGCAATCTAATCTTATACTCTTATATACTACTATGTAAAGCTGAAGAGTTTGTTTGTTTGTTTGTTTGAAGGCGCTAATCTCAGGAACTACTGGACTGATTTGCAAAATTCTTTTTGTGTTGCATAGTCCATTTATCGAGGAAGGCTATAGGCTATAAAACATCGCGCTACAATCAATAGGAGCCGAGCAGAGCGGGTGAAACCGCGCGTAAGTAGCTAGTTAGTTATTATACGGTTTTAT